AAAAAAAAAAAAAAAAGCCTGCTGGCCTTGATTTCAGCTCAGTGGAGCCGACTGCCAACTTCTGACCTCCAAAGCTAAGACAGTAAATTTGCTTTGTTTTAAATTTAATTTAAATTTTAAATTTGTGGCAATTAGTTACAGTAGCTATGGAAAAGGTACACTGATTGCCTGCCTTGAATATAGGCAGTAAACCCAGTTTTCCATAAATAAATTTTTAGGCTGTTGTATTTCAGATTTATTTACAATTGTAAGGGGCATTTAAAAAAATTTTTGTTTTTTTTACTATTTTCTTTTCTTGTATAAGGACTCAAACTCAGACCTTGCACTTACCCAGCAGATAGTGCACCACTGAACTACATCCCTGGTTCTCTTCACAACTTTAATATAGAGTTCAGACAGGAGAACAGACTCTGAAGTAAATGGACGCCTTCTTCCATTTACTCCCATGTAACTTGGGGGAAGCGCACCCCTTGAGCTTTTTCTGCCCAAGGTCGCTACTGCACGAAGTCGGGATTCACGCTGACCTCACAATGCTTCAGGTTTCTCATCTGCAACATGGGGTCCTATTAGTAACTATTGCACAGCAGCATGAGGAGCCAGTGGGTTAAATATGCCATGTGCCTAGAGCTGTGCTGGAGATATTGTAAATGTTATTTTTCTTATCTTTTTAAAAGCAAGTGCTCAGTAAAAAGCCCCTCAACACCACAGGGGCCCTTCGTGCACCAGCCTCTCTGCTCTATTTACCTACATTGTGTATCTCAGGCTTCCAGTGCGCCTTAGTCTCTGCCTTACTGGCCTTATGGGTTAATTCAGAGGTCAATAGAACGTCCCTGTCCAGGGAAGGTACGCCGCTATGCACCGAGCAGGCCTGACCCTGAACACCCCGTGGTTTAGTGTAGGGGAAGTTGACAAGTCCTGGCAGAGGAGGGAGCTTTCTGCTGGGCTTGGACAGGCAGAGGGGACCAGCAGGTGCAAGTAGCACCTGGAGGAATGCACAGGCCCTGGACCGTGACAGGATGGGAGCGGGTGGGTGTTCAGTGATGAGGCCGGACTAAGCCTTTGCTGGCTCTACTACATGGCTTATGGGAGCCCCTGAAAAACATCCCACCAGAAGAGAATCATGACCACAGTGTTTCTATAAATAACACCAACTCTCAGTCACAGTCCAGTAACCGCCCAGTGTAACATGATTCCCCCGGGGTGTATGACAATTCATTCGTAGCCACTAAGGCAGAGACCTAGGCTCAGTGGAAGCCTGAGATATGCAATGTAGGTAAATAGAGCTGAGAAGCTGGTGCAGGAAGGGCCCCTGTTGCATGGATGAGCTTTTTACTGAGCACTTGCTACATTTCAGAAGCTGCTGCTTTAAAAATAATAAGAACAGCATTTAGAATATCTCCAGGAGGGGGCTAAGTGGGGGACGAAGAGAAGGATAAGAATGAGGAGGGGGCACTTAAACGAGGGAAGATGCAGGAGACCAAACGCGTGACTTCTCCATGTGAGGCGTAAATAGTGACTTCCCCTGTCTTTCCATTCAATTGGCATGTTTGAGATCTACAAGAGCTGTGTTCATTTTGGACAGCTGGTACACATAGCTGTTACATTTTGCTCATTTTTCTATACCCTTTCTCCCCCTCCTCTTCCCTCTTCTCCCTCCCCTGTTCCCTTTCTGTATCTTCAGGAAGTCTATCTCCCTCTTTCCTCTCATCCCCCCTTTTTATACTCTATTTGTATTTTGGGTTTATCATGTAAGAGTTTTATGGGATAATTAACCTTCTGTGTTTAACGTTTCGTTTAGCACTGAGGTCTCAAGTTCTCTCCATTTTCCTACAAATTTCTTGATTTGATCCTTTTTCGTGGCCAGATAATACTAAATTATGTGAATATATCACATTTTTCCCTTAGTCATCTATTGTTGAGCATCTAGGCTCCTTCTATAATTTGACAATTATGAATTTTGCCACTGTAAACATGGTCATACATCTATCTTACTCCAGTAAAAATGATTATCATCAAAACACACAAAACCCACATAGGGTGGTGAGGTTTGGGGAAGAGGGAACATTCCAATTATTGGTGGAAATGTAAACTAGTACAACCATTAACTGAAAACAGTATGGGGATTGTTTCAAAGACTAAAAAATGAAATTTTTTGCTTGGCCCAGTTATACTTCTCTTGGGTATTTCTGGAAAGAGTTAAAGACATCAGATTTCTTTTCTTTCCACAAGTAGTCAGTAATTGCTGATTCTGCCTAAGAAAGCTTAATGCAAGAAGAAGGATTCTAGGAAACGAAGGAAGAAGAGTTTATTGTTTCCTTCGGGTTTAGAGAGATTCCTGTTAGTGACCAAGGATTCCTATATTTGCACCAATCACTGATGACTTCCACTTTCTATGTTCTTTGTTTTTTTGTCATACTTAAATATTTTTCACAATCAAATATCAGAAATAAAAGAAGATATTTCTTAAAGGTCCTATTAAAGTATAGTAAGAGTTGTTTAGTATATAGCTACTGATCTGAAAAGTGGATGTAAACTTGTCTCATTCCCAAAGGTTTCTTGCTAGTAGACAGAAATAGAATAAACTCACGTCTTTTCAGGTCCCAAAATAAATGCAAAATGGAAAAATAGTGACTTTTTGGGACTCTGCTGCTTCAAATGGGGCTCTGGGGGTGGGGCTGGTGGTAGTGGTAATTGGTATGCAGGTATGTACTAAAAATCCACAAGCACCACAGATCAAAACCATTATTCAGGAGCACATGTGTCTATTGAAAAGAGGACGGTATTTCACAGAATTCTACTGCTAGGACAACGTTATGGCCCACAACCATAAATGAACACATCAGTAAGATATGAAGCCAGAATTTTAGAATTTCTGGTCCAGGCTGCATGATCTTGAACAAGACTCCATCAGCCACGGTTGTGTCAACTATAAAACACAAGCAGTCACACACGATCCCTGAACCCGCTTTCAGCCATACAGCAATAGTGCAAAAGGTCACAGTAAATTGGCTGATGGCCACTTCTAAGTTGGCTAGCTGTGTGAATCTCACTTTCCTCAAACCTACATGAGGATAATAAAAGCTGTTTTTAACTGAACTGCTGTGTGAATTAACTTCAAGTAGGTATGAAATAAAACGTGGTACATAGGTAGGTGCTCAGAATACATTATATCCTCTTGACTTCCAAAAACTATCACATAGTATTTTGGAATTGATGAACTTAGCTATATACATTTAAACTCTGAAAGAAAATACATAGTCAAAGTCTGATTCTAGCTGTTTTATGCTTCTTTATAAAGCCACTTCTCAGTATCTTCAAGGGATTGGTTTCAAGATCTTCCTCAGATTTGGTTCCAGGACCAAAATCCATGGATGCTCAAGTCTCTTATAATTTATGATATAGTACTTGCGCATAACTTACTCTGCATACTTTAACCCATCTTTAGATTACTTGTAATACACAAAACAATGTACATGGTATATAAATACTTGTTATACTGTATTCTTTAGATAATAAAGGAAAAAAGTCTACATAGTGTGGAGGCGACTACCATAGAACTAACTAAACAGTCCCTACGCTGCAGTTAGTTGAGTCTGCAGATGCAGAGACAGTGTAGAGGGCCACATGTACATGGTGTTTCGCTCCCTTGTTACTATTTGATTCTTTAAGTGCTTTACTAAACCATAGCTCCGTGATGGACAGGGAGAAAAACCGAAAGAAGGAAGGAGAAGCAGGGAGGGCTTTGGGCTGTGTGGAGGCAGCAGCCTGGTTCAGCACTGAGGCAAAGGGATGTAAGATGACGTCCTTTCCGCTTCTTAGACCAACGAACACCTGACTTATTCTCCCACTGGGATGCTTTTGAGAGTAAAGCATGATCTCAGTAAAAAACAGGGATACACATGCCCTCCACCTTACAGACTTATTGTTTTTGACTTTTGCTGTCATTTTAAAGCTATGCAAAATAGGATTTTTCCCCCAATCTAAAAATCTGTGTTTTTAAAAAGTAGTTGGAAAGTTTGACAAATTTACATTAATTTAAGGTAGGATGTAACAGTAGAATAGCTGTATTTTTGTTATTTATTAGTATAATGCATCCTTTGGTGTAAGTTTTGCAAACTTTCTTTTTTCTTTAAGGGATAGACAATATGGTCTCTGTCACAACCACAAAATTCTGCCCTTATAGTGTAAAAGCAGTCACAGACCACAAGTAAAAGAATGCATGTGGCCGTGTTCCAATAAAACTTTATTTGAAAGAAAGGCCAGAAGCTAGATTTAGTTTGTGGGCTGCAGTTTTCCAAGCCCTGCTAATATACAATGATTTTCAGACTTTTAGAATTCACGTAATCAGGAAAACAAAACAAAACAAAAATTGAAATTTACTCAAGATTTCTAACTTATTTAAGTAATAACATTGAAAAATCATTACTTTATTTCTAGAATTTCAAATAGCAAAAAGTAGAAAGTACATAAATTCAGAACAAATTTATTTTATGAAAAAACTTACCATATTCCACACAATTTCCCATACCTTCATAAAAGCTTTCTAATAAAAATGCTCCAGTTTACAGACAGGCTATTTGAGTTGCTTTTGGAGATCACTTGGATATGATATACTAAGAAGATAGGGGCTGGGTTTGGTGGTGTACACCTATAATCTTAGCACCCTAGGAGGCTGAGGCAGGAGGATCACAAGTTTGAGGCTAGCCTGGGCAACTCAGTCACTTAGACTCTTCTCAAGTAAAAAGGTTTGGGATGCAGCTGAGGTATGAAGGGTCTGGGTTCAACTTCCAGTGCCCCTCTCCTCAAAAAAAAATAAGCTTTTGATAATTTAAAGTTCTAGATTAGAGTAAGGTGAGGAGAGTACTAAAAAAGAGAAGGAGGGAAGGATGAGAAATCCTTGAACATTCCTCTAACAGGGCAAAACGATAGGTTCAGAAGTATCTTTACTCTTTAATCATCTTGTGCACAAAACTCCAATCCCAAGCAACCTCAGAACTTACCGGCTGCCACTGTTCGGGGTACCAGGCCGGGGGACAGTTGAAACGGTTGCAAACTTGTACTGTGCTGGGCTTGGGGCCATGACACAGCTCATCAGCCAGAATCACCATCTCATTCATCTCTCTGGAAAGCAGATGGGAGCAGAAGACATCTCTGGTTTGCAGGCCAACGCCACAGGTAAAGCTACACGGACTCCATCGGCCAGTTTCCCACCTGACAAGAAACGAGAGAAGGTGCTGCTTTAGCTCCTCGGCAGAGAGCATGTCCCAGGAACTCAGGTGCTGCCTGGAATGTGGGAAGTTCTGCCCCGAGACTGGCTAGAAAAATCTAACCTAAGCCTAGCACCATCTTCCTTTTCCATACTGTAGAACTCACTTAGAGAAGAGCATGGAACAGTCCATGTTGACCCATGGAAATCACCAGCAATTGTCCCAACCATGTCTGTTTTGATGGAACACAGAAGCTACCTCAAAATAAGGGTAATATGCTAGCCAAAACATAAGCTGTATACATAAATAGTTTGGACATCACACATTGAATAGTGGGTTCAGAGAAGAAATTTTTCTGCTAATTTCTGAGGCCTCCATCCTTAGTGAGACTGAAAAGTTTATGCTTGTTATTCTTTGGCTTCAAAGTGAAAGGCCACTGGCTCTAACTTCCCTCAAACTTCCCTCATAGCATAGAAATGTCTCTGTCTTATGTATAAATATCATCAGCGCCCGGGACTGGGTAATGTAACAGAAGTGGAAGCTGCTAAATAGATCAGTCTTCCGGAGGGGAAGTAAGTGGAGTGAGCAGCTCATTATCTGGACATAGGAGTCAAATTTGCAGATGAGCTAAGTGCATAAATTGGCTGGTTCCAAGTGGCCAAGTCTCGAAAAGTACATTTACACAGAACTCAGGGCCTATAAAAACAACCCCACTGCATTTGCCATTGACATGGTCTCCTAAGTGGGAACGATAAGGACAAATCTCAGTTGCTTGAGGCAGAAGCATTCTCTAATAATCAGTTTTAGAAAGCTGTATTTACAATCCGAGGTACAAAGATTCTATAAGTAGGAGTTCACCAAGAAAACAATGGCAACAGATTCCACAGTAGCTAAGTCTGCCCAGCTTTTAAAAGCCAGCTTGGAAAACTGATTAAAAAATCTTTGGATTTAATGATTTTCAATAGATTGAATAGAAGAAAATAATAAAGATCAGAAAACACAATCCATTATTCAACTGTCAGCATCATTTTTCACATAGATTAGTATTTTGATTCTTACATTTCTGTAAAAATAAGAAAGACTCAGAATAGTCTAAACAACTTTGAGAAAGGAACAAAATTAGAGTGTTAATCCTTCTCAGTCCCATGACTTATCACAGTGACACCAATCATGACAAAATGGCATTGATATCAAGATACACAAACCAAGATACCAAAGTACCAATATGAAGTCCCCAAATAGATATCCACATAACAGACAACCGATTTCTGGAAAAAATGTAAAAGCAATTAAGTGGAGAGAGGATTGTGCTCTCAATAAATATACTGGAACAACTGGACACTCACATATAAAAAATTCAAACCTTATAGCACGTCAAAAATTTCTTAAAACATCCCAAAGTCAACTCAAAATGGCTCAGAGTGAGACGTATAAATAATTTAAAGGGCAAAGCAGAAGATAGATGTAGGAATCAGAGATGGAGATTCTGTGGAGAGGAAAAAGAGACCCGGATGGAGAAGACAGGAGGGAAGAAGGGGACATGAAAAGGATCAAGGTGCGAATGTGTGTGTGTGCACCAGCTCCCCACAACGAATGTAATATGAATCACAAACGCACACTCATTTTAACAAACTAGTATTCATAGCAGCACTATTTGTAATAGTTCAGGCTGGGAAAAAACCAAATGTTCAACCAGCAGTTGAGTAAATAGAAAAGTATAATATATTAATACAACACCATATAAAATGATGAAAATAAACTACAGCAATAAGCAACAACATGGGTGAATCTGACAATATAAGACTGAATAAAGCCACAGAGAGCAAAAAAAAATCATACAGCTTCATTCCATTTCTATAAGCTCAAAAGCAAAACCAATTCCTGGTGTTAGAAGGCAGGAGATTAGGCTTAGTGTGCAGGAGCTGGAGCAGGGGTGCGGTGGGGTAGGCTTCTGGGATGTTGCCTAGATCTCACAGCTGCAGCTGGGTTGGCTTTGTGAAAAAACACCACACTTTATTTGTAGGATCTGTGCACTTTTCTCCATGTTATGTTTCTTTATTATTTTATTTTTATTTTTTATCTTTTTGAGACATGTTTTCATTACGCAGTTCAGATTAGTCTTGAACTCACTTTGTAGCCCAGGCTGGCCTTGAACTTGCAACAATCTTCTTACCTGAGCCTCTTGAGTGCTGGGATTACAGCCTGGCTTGTTATGTTTCAGAAAAGGTTTTTCTTTTCTCCTACTCTATATGAAACACAAAAATGTTGCGAATAAAAAAAAAAAACAAAAAAACAAAACCAGTTCACCACCCCCTCCCCCAAGGCTGATTTGCACTGAACCTGTGTCCCGTAAAGATGCTGCCTTCATAGCTAATGCTGCTCCAGGGTTAAAGCTCTCAGTGCACAGGCTTTCCACCCTTGCTCCCACAACTCCGTCCCTCATTTCTGGTGAAAATTCAGCCAGGAGGTCCTTGATGCGGAGGAGTTCTGGCAGCAGTGAGGCCACTTGAACACTGCTCAGAAAATTCACAGTACAGATCTCTCTGCCTTCCCTGATAAAAGAACATTATACATTCTCAAGGAAGGAGGTCAGCGGAACTATCTGTGTATTTAAGCATTTGGCTGATTCTGGGTCAAAAAATTTTCATTGATTTAGATCCAGAAAAGGAAAGCAGAGACTTTTGGCTACTTCTGTCTTACACAGAGGTTGTACTTGTGGATCACAGGCCTTGTGGTTTTCCGGCGTTTTGTGCCTTTGGTGGTACTGAGGTAGAAGCCCAGGTCCAGCGGATCCTGTGGGGCAAGATTAGCTGAAGCTTGACATGTAGTACTGTCAGCCTCACCTGTGTTTTTGGGTCTGGCTTCTGCCAAAACCCAGTGCTGAGGAGGTCAGGGGCTCTACCTCTTTCCCACCTTTGATTGGTTGACTTTTGCTTATTTTTTCCATCTCTCTCTAAAATGTTACTTCTTTAGGGGAAACTTTAACAGGGTCAAACTTTCCCACCATCTCATCCCCTTCATACTTCCTTCTTAGAAATTCTTGAAGTACTTATAATCTGACTACCTCAAATCTTCTGTTAGCTTAACCGAGGGCCTTATGTAGCCGTATCCATTAGGGTTTGCTAGTTGTTATGGGTTGATTTGTGTCCCTCAAAAAGATATGTTGGAGCTCTAATTGCTGGTACTTCAGAGTATGGCCTCTCATGGAGAGAGGGACCCTGCAGATGGAGAAGGCTCTCGAGTCAAAAGGCCTGCTGCACTCATAAGCGGGAGGGCCATACAAGGGGTTGCCAGACACTGAATTAATTCAACCTCAGGCAAGCGATGCCAAAGGTGCCAGGGAGCACCAGAAGCCAGAGGATGTAAGGGAGGGAGCTCAGGCTTTAGAGGGCTCTAAATTTCTCTTGTCTTAAGTCACCTAATTTGTGTTATTTTGTTACTATAGCCCTGGAAAGCTAAATCACTGTAACTTTAGTATAGAGCCTGGGTCCTGGAACACAGCAGATGGTCAGCCTGGTTGTATTGTCTCAAACTGAGTTGAATCTCCAGTGAACTGTGTGTGCACCTTGGGATTAGTCACTTGACTGGCTGATATCTCAGCTGTGTCCTCTAAACAACTGTTCATTCCTAATTTCAAAGTCGCTGAACACTGTACAGTTTTCCTCAGCATGGTGTAAAGTCTCTTGATGACACGCTTGGTTTTAAATTGACATGCCTTTGATAGATTGCGTCTCACTTCATGTAAATATTTATACATTTTACTGCAGCAATTTTAGCCTACCGGCGTGTGACTTTTTCCCCCAGAGAATGTTAGGCTTTTATACAACTTTTGTTTTCATCATCCTAATGTATTTTTAAAATATAAAACTTTTTGATTTCTGAATCATATCTGCCCACTGGTTTTGGCTTGAGGATCATGGTACTATATAAGAACAGTGACAACCCTAATGGCTCTGGTTTCCTTCTAGGATCTAACCTCACAATTGTCCAAGGTGTTAGAGACTAGTATCCCCATTATATATATATTTTTAAACTTCTTTCTTTCCTCTGAGCCTTTCCATTTTGTCAAAACCTTCTTGTAAGAAAGGCATGTGATGTGACAGGTCACAGCTGATGTCCTGTACCTTCAGGCTTGGCCATACCCAGCTCCATAGCAATCAACTCCTAGCCAAGGACAGGCAGGGGACAAGGGTGCCCTATAGCTTAGTGGCTGGAGTAACTCTTCTTGCCCTCTGCCATCTTTAGGCATGGTTGGTTTGACCTGTCATTATTACTAGGTTTTAGACATCAGACCTGGCTTCCTAATTCCCACCTGTTTCTGTAAAGGTGCTGGAGTTCGGCCTAAGGCCAGGCTACTAGCTGGTCTTGTCACCCTCACTGGGGCTGGCTAGCCACTGGCCCTAGGCTGGGCTAAGCATCTTTAGCCATGAATCACCATGTGACAGCAATCCTGCTCAGGCCTCAAATGATCACTAATAACACCATACTATCACTTACATAGCATTTACCATGAGCCAAACTCTGTGCTGGTTACTTTCCTATCACCTTGCTCCTCCTTAGAGCTGCATGAGATAGGTATATCATCACCTACATTTTAACAACAAGGAGTCTGGAGAAGTCAAATCATGGCCTCAAATGCCTGATGTCAATCTCTGCTGCATTACACCCAAATTTATCATGTTTGACATGAAGGCACTAAAAACAGAATTGCTTCTTATTGCAGAGACTGGGAGAGTGGATTTATTAATTTCTTTTCTGTATCTTCCAGTTTAAGGGTTAATTCAGAGTTAAGTCGACCCAAGATGCAAGGACATATACGTGAAGGTATTTATTACTTTGATTCTTACATTTTTCCATTTTACACGGTGACCTAACAGAAGCCTGAGAAAGTAACTAATCTGGCTGAAGTCACACATCAAGAAAATAAGAGTATCAGAACACAAACTCAGCCTGGCTCCTGCTTGCCTAACTATTATATCATACCTTCTCTTAAGGCCAGGATGA